CCTCCCTAGCTCACAAAAAAAAACCGACCAGGGAACTTGAAATTGAACTTCTAATAACTATGACATACTTTTACAAGTTGTTGGAGTTTGTAAGTACTTGAACAAACAGTATACTTACTTAATAAACATTAAAAAGAAGGATTAAAAATGCGCTGGATTTTTTCATTGAAGTGTTTTAAATTTTTGTTGCTGCCTCTTCTGGAAACTTGATTAATCAAAAGAAAGTATAAAAATTATGATAACAGCACACTCGTTTATGCATTTCACAGCAACCAGAAAGCATACAATCACAATGAAGCACATCAGATTCAACAATCCATAACAACTATGCTGATTCCACATTTGCAGGTTTGTTTGCAATAAGTCTGCAAAATTTAAAATTTCTTTGAAATTTAAATTTCTTTGAAATTTAAATTTCTTTGAAATTTAAATATCTTTGAAATTTAAATATCTTTGAAATTTAAATTTCTTTTAATTTCAAAATTTTTTTTTATTTAAAAATTTAACATTTTATTCTATTGAGCATTATCATGTGTTACTTTTTTATACAAATCTGTCACATTTAGTTTTTTTTTACTCATTCAGGTTCAAGATGATTTGGTCCTATAGATGGAAAATTATGTCCTTTTTGACTGACTTGATTTCTGTAAAATTCATTGCAGTAATTTTTTCATGCATTTTTGTGTGAGTCCATTCACTTGGGTAAATCTTGACCAAACAATTCGTGGATGAGTTTCCTCACTATAAAGAATTTTAAAAGGTCCAAAATGTATTGTCACTATAAAGACACAGAAATCTGTCTTGATAAGAAAACTGTTCTCAGCAGAATAATTAATCAAAAACTCTGTGCACTATATGGAATGAGCCAGTATCAAATATAGGTGATCAGTAAACTTAGTTGGAACAGGTGGTGGTCGTGGTTAACACGGTTCATCGTTTTGTTCGTTTTACCCACACCGTCCTCCCTTTTCATGATAACTGTCTTAGTTCTCATGTTAGTTACGGTGAACCATCAACCTGACGCGCAGGAACAAGGAAACAACTTGCTGACCAAGGCTGGTGATGATGTCCTGCACTTGCCTTGATTCTGCAATTGTATTGTCCTGGTCTTCATTGGCCACCATGGCCTGTGGATGAGCTGGTCCTGGCAGAGGGCCATCTTCAAGAGCTGATGACATCAATGCATAAAAAATAAATATCAACCATTGTGCTGTGCAGCAAATTCAGTATATTTTTGAGACAGTTTGTGCCCATGAGCACTGGCAATTGAAAAAAAAATTTTGTGAACCAAAAAGGCCTAAGTTGAGAAAAAGTTCAATACTTTTTTTATAATCCTGCAGGAAATTCTGCCTAAAAATATTCCTCACTCGGTGGCATTTTTAATGCATTTTTTTGCATATGATTAACATTGGGGACTTATAAAGACAAATGGGTACTGTTTACCCAGATTTTTCTGAACTCAGGCTTCAGCAGTGACCTTCAGTCAAACTGAAATTTTCCTCCCTCTGAAAAAACTCCAATGTTGCTGCAGGATGGACAGGGACCCTCTGTTGTCCAAGTGTTACATTTTGCTGGTGAGTTATTTTCAAGCCTTATGCAAAAAAATTATGATATTTATGCAAAATTTTGTGACCAAGAGGATTGTAACAGAAAAACATGAACTGAGAACCAGCAAAGCCTAAGTTGGAAAAATTCCAATATATTTATTTTTCTCTGCAGGCAGAACATTTTTGTTTAAACATTTTAGCTGCCAAGCATTTTTGGACAATTTTTTGAAGCAAAAGGATTTAATCTTCTTGTAATTTTTCTGACTTGAGTTTTCTCAACCCAGGCACATTTTGGTGACCTTTAATGAAACTGAAAGTGCCTCAGGCCAAAAAATAAAAAATAAATTTTGCTGTGGGATGGAAATGAGGCTGCCACCATCTAAGCATCAAAGCACTAAATAATAAGAGAATTCTCACATTGACAGAAAATCTACAATCAATGTACTGTTTTTAATTGAGTGGCCATCTGTAGCAAAGTTAGAATAATTTTGCTAAACTATGTACCCAAGAGGACTGCAATAGAAGGATGAAATGAGAAAAAAATGCTGAAGGTTTGAAGAAGTCCAATATTTTGTTTCTTTGCAGACAAAAACGTTTTCTGAACAAATCTCTGTTGGAAAGAATTTTTTTAATCTTTGAAAACAGAAGGATTAACTATTCCCGAGTTATTCCTCATTTTTTCTTTCTCAGTGGATTTAATTTGATCTTATTTTATAATTCATCTGTGACGCAAATTTGGGAAAGCAGTATAGAACTTTTTTTTTTCTTAAGTATGCTGGACAACCACACTTTTCAAGTCTCAAAACCAAGTTATGCACATCTTTTGGTAATTGAAGCTTCACATAATATTGTCCCCTGAGACAGAAAATGAAGGCATATATTTTAAATATTTTGACACATTTTCTCAATTATGTTTTCAAACTTGAGTGGAGGTGAAAATGTGTTATATTGAACTTCCTTTCAGTGTCCCTATAAAAGAATGCATTATACAATTAAGGCTTTTCAACGTAATTATGCAAACCAAGCGAATATTTTCCCAATCGAAAATCTTTCGCAGATCAAAAAAATCGAGTTAATCTGAGTTTATTTTTATTTTGTTTGATTATTGCATATATATCTGTGAGTACCGAGAAATATATTTTATTGTAGAATTTATCTGGTGAAATTTTGAATAAAAATTAAATGAAATCTATGAAGTTTGATAATTTTTACGAAAATACTTTATTGAACAGATTATTTTTTTGTGATACATTATTTTTATGCTTCTGTCAGAACTAAAAAAAAATTTTCATTTCTCAAATTTTTAAAAACAAAAATTCACCCACATTCCGACAAAATTTCAATCTGAAGTTCTATTATATTTTTTTAAATTCTATGACAATAGATCAACGCACTCACCCAAGGAATTTTCCCGTATTTCGTAATCACGCTCTGGCTCTGATTCCAGTTGGCAAATTACATTTTGCAAAAACACAGCAAATATGACAAGAATTACGAGCGAAAAAAGGTGTTTCATTTTTTATCACCGCGTATTTATATAACTGCAACCAATGAGAACCACAGGTTAATTAAGAAATATATACATTCACTCTCGGTGTATCTTTTATCCATAGTTTTTGAATATTTTGGGCATAAATTTCGTTTCACTCTTGAAAAAAAACCGAGTTGGAATCCGCAGAAAAGTCGTTGCTCAAGGCTGGAAAGACGAGCAGCGATTGAAATCCGAGCAAGTGAGCTTCAAAGTTTTTTTCCCCCCAGCTCAAGAAAATTCAAGCGAGAAATTTCTTCTTTTTTTTCTTTCGATTTTCGAATTTTTTTTGTTGCGTTTCTATTACGCCATTGCCATCGACCGTAAGAATTCACTCAGGAGTTCAGACTAACATTCAGACCTGCCAACGATTAATTCTTTTTTTTTCCTTTCAACGTTCGCTTATCTTCATGATTCACGAACTCCACGTAACGCATCGTATCAACGATTTTTTAACCCTCGTCTTATTGTCTCATGAAGTGATTTTTTTTCTTGTAAAATCCCCAATTTTTTTTTTTATTTCTCGAAAGGCAATTTTTTGTATTTTTTGTTCATCGTGGCTGAAGCAGAAGATACTGTTGGTTGAGACTGCTGCAGAGTTCCAGTGATTGTTACACATCCACGTGGCTTTTGTGGTAAACGAAATATTCAGTATAGGAAATAAATTGCATGAAATATTTGCTAAAAAAAATCACACACATTGCTGTCGATTTCAAACTGAAAAATCACCAAGTATATAAAAGCAGCAGCGATTCCATCGACCGCCAGAAACCAACTGCTGACCCCGGAACAAGTTTTTGAAGGTGTGTAAAGTTTTCCGGATTACCAGACAAGTGCACCGGAAATTTTGAATCAAGGAATTCCTGTCATTGAAAAAAGCCGCCCTTCTACACAAGATAAGACGAAAACAATGTATCACTCTTATTTGCGTCGTCAGTTTCTGTTCATAATTAGGGATTAATTTGGTACGTGATCCTTGAGGGGGAGGATGACGGGCATGGAACAAAATCCAAACCTCAACTGACACGGTGGTTTGCGGAATATTTCCATCCTTATAAATGTTCTCTTAACTGCGAACAGATGTCGCTTCATGGGGCTGCGAACACTTCACAACAATCTTCGGCAAACGAAAATTCCCCATCATTAAAACCATGCACTCCTTTCCTTTCCAATTTGGTCCTTATTGAATATTCCTGCCCATCAATTTTCTCGGTTTTCGATGAAGAAAATTAAGGGAATTCTCTGCACATTTCAGCTGGAAGTTTTGAGAAAATTCAATTTCTCAACTGTAACATCAATAAAGGCAGAGAAAAGATCCTGATCACTCAATTTTGTCATGATAATTGTGATGTTGTAGACTCAAGTAAATTACTAGATGATCTTGCTTGTGGCAATACTAAACCATTACTAGTTGCATCATCTAATATCCCATTAATATATGATACTGTGGCTATTTTGACAAATTAATGTCACTTTAGTAAAAATTCATTCAATTTTAAAAAGTGTCGTAAGTGGTGTAACTAAGTGTTTGATGAAGGGTTGGCTGGGAAGGGGGTTTGGTTGTGGAAATCTTGATTGAACCTTGTGAACACTGAAAAGTGGCAAATAGTGTTCTGTTCATTCATTCAACCATGCACTCCTTTCCTTTTCAATTTGGTCTGATTGAATATTTCTCCACATCAATTTTCTCGGTTTTCGATGAAGAAATTTAAGGGAATTCTCCGCACATTTCAGCTGGAAGTTGTGAGAAAAAAATTGCTCAAATATGTTTGAATCACAGTACAGAATTTCAAAATATGTACCATGCAGTGGATCCTTGCGAATATTGAAAATAAATATGCGCCATCGTCTCTCCATACTAACTTTTTGCAATACACCCAAGTTAATGAAAAAAGGTGCAAAATTGGAATAAAATTACCCCCAAATTCAAGAATGAATCACGTTTGTATATTCATTTTTCAGAAGACTGAATTTAGAGAAATTCCCCTAGATTGATAAACCATCAGGAAGGGTATACAGCAGTAACTTTCCGGATACTTGAAAGGATATCAAGAAGCCACTGATGAAGTGAGGAATGTCTGCAGCTGCTTTTTCCAAATATACCAAATTTCCCAAAATATGTTCCCATGTAGTATTCTTGTCAATATTCGACTGCCTCGCATTCATGATCGTATCTCACATCCGCTTGAGTCTGGAAATAAATAAAAAAATTCAATTGGTTGGAGCAGCACTAATGATTGAAGAGAAGTTTAACTTTCAACTTGATACAGCCAGACCATTGCTGTCTTCTTAACTTAAATGTTGGGGGACCCATAAAATAATTTAAGTCATGACGTTTTATAAAATTAAGGAAATATTGTGGCGATATATTGAGCATCAAACTGTTGATCAAACGAGTTTACAGGTTTGCTAAACCCAGAAGCAATTAAATATGTTGCCCAATTATGGTCAATCCCTTTTGAAACACTTGATTAATTTTACATCTTATTTCTGCCCTCTCTTTCAATTGTCTTCAGTATAAGCTCAAAGACCTCTAAAAATGTGAGTTACTGAGGTGTGAGCATGAACATTTTGGAGGTCTAAATTGCATTTTGCCTCTTTCCTCAGCCCAGGTTGGCATATACAGTGAATTCAGACAAGGTACTACTGTAACATATTTAATCAAACACCATGTACCCTTGAGTTAGACCCCTCAATTTATCAGCCAAAAATGTGGACAAAAACCTATGCACAAGTGAGACACACACTCTATCTTCAGTAACTGAAAAGAACACACTTTTAGAATATTTTGACTTGAATTAAGCCTGTATTACTTTCAGATTGTTTCTTACAATTATTGAGTCAAACTGGGTTGTCCAAATTGTCCACTCTTAAAATCATGTACAGTATGACAAACACCCTTACCTTAAGAAATTAAGAAAAGATGTGAACTTGCTAATGATGACTCACATAAAAAAATCGTCTATGCTACTTGAGTTAATACAGTACACAAAAAATTAACATTGGGATGCATTTTTGTGCTTGAAGAGGTTTTCAGTTGGCAAGGTCCAAAACTGGAGTTCAAAATTTCAAAAGTACAGAGGGGGTCTAACAAATGTTCCTAGAATAGAAAATGAAACAAAATATGATTGAGCTAAAATCATTCATTGTTCAGAAAAAAAAATCTTTGACACAGGAAAAAAGCCAACCCAGCGACATATTTTTAGATTTTGTTGGTTGCAGGTTTCTGCTTTTAATGAATTAATGCCATGTTGATTTCAAGAACATGGTAAGAGAACTTGGGCTACACAAAAACATTTTTNAGGAAAAAAGCCAACCCAGCGACATATTTTTAGATTTTGTTGGTTGCAGGTTTCTGCTTTTAATGAATTAATGCCATGTTGATTTCAAGAACATGGTAAGAGAACTTGGGCTACACAAAAACATTTTTTTTGAATGAAGAGCAGAAAGTTGCCAGGGTGACTTACATAAAATTACAAAATTTTTTTTTTAAACAGAGCTGAATTTCTTTCTTATTATATGAGTTCTGAGCTGAAAAACAACTAAAATATTCTGTGGTACAATAAGAAAGAAATTCAGCTCTGTTTAAAAAAAAATTTTGTAATTTTATGTAAAAATGTTTTTGTGTAGCCCAAGTTCTCTTACCATGTTCTTGAAATCAACATGGCATTAATTCATTAAAAGCAGAAACCTGCAACCAACAAAATCTAAAAATATGTCGCTGGGTTGGCTTTTTTCCTATATATATATATATATATATATAAAGCCTGAATTACTTTCAGATTGTTTCTTAAATTGTTGAGTCAAACTGGGTTGTCCAAATTGTCCACTCTTAAAATCATGCACAGTATTACAAACACCCTTACCTTCAGAAATTAAGAAAAAACGTGAACTTGCTAATGATGACTCATATTTAAAAAAAAAAAATATATATATGTATATATATATATATATACTGTATTTATATATAAATGGCTGAGCACATACTTGGAAAGCAATCCCGGTCTCGTACATGGCCCACTTGCCAACAAAGTCGGGGGTCGTCCGCGGCGCCTCCTTCATGACGACCGGCTTGACCAGCGAGCAGGGACAGGATGGTGGCGGCACTCGGGAGAGGCGGTCTTCGAATCTGGTGTAGATTTGCTGCTGAATCGCGGGGTCTCGTCTGGGGCGCTCCACCAGTCGCGGAAGGGCGCAATGAGGACAAGCGGCGCCACTTGTTTTTTTTTTTTCAACAGAGATTAATGGGATGGAGGTTTCAAATATACTCTTCAGGTAGAAAATATATCCAATGAAGTAATTTTTATTAGGACAATATTTAAATAAGGACCCATCAGCAAAAACACCTCATGATGCAAAATTAAATCAAAAGTTATTGGCAGTATATAAAGGGCAAATTTAATTGAAAAACATTTTTCAACCAACATTAATTCATGCCCTATAACAAAAAATTCTTTAACTAAAGCATGATCCATCAACTTTTATTGATTGACATGGACTTTGAGATATATAATTCATATGTACTTGAGTAAACTTGAATGTTGAAAATGTGTATCTGAATGGAGTTTTAATGAGGAATTCCTCTTGAAAGGAAATCACAAATAATTTTTGATATTAATTTTCAAATAAAGTTGGAAAAACCATCACAACTTATTTTTAATGCACCTCTGCAGAGGACACATTTGCTGATCTGTTCAGAAACAATTTTTGTTAAAGGCTGCTTTGAGTGAACTAGGAAAATATCCAAGATTGAAGAAAGAAACCTTGGATTCTGTAAAAAAAAAAATTCAGAACCTGCAGAAAAAAAGTCTCCTCATTAAAAAAATGTAGAGGTTCCGTATGAAAATATGAGGTGGGAAGACAGCCCCTTTCTGCTTCCTGAAAGAGCGGCTTATAAAAAAATCATCCTTTTCAACTTCAAGATATTGAATTTCAGATGTTTCAATATTATTCATATTCAATAAGTTCCAAATTGCTATATTTTAACTTTTATTTACCCTGAGTGGAAGGGGTGACACATATTGAGTGCTTCTCCAAAATTTAGTAGCAATAAGGAGGAAAATTGCAATTGATGTCCTTTAATTTTAATTTTTTTTCCACTATAAAATTTCAAAGCAAATTGTCCCATTTCAAAGCAATTTTTCTCATCCCCAGCATTTGAAAAATATTTTTCATACAGTTCAAGTAAAGGGGAAAATATTGTGAACATCCTAAAATTTCCACATTTAAACTCAATAGACAAACTAATCGTTTTTAAAGCTTGTGGTCCAGTTGTAAATGCAGTGTTGCCAAAGAGTTGTATGGAAATATTCTTTGAAAAACTGTTGAAAAATTGAGCATACATGTAAGCAGCCTCAGGGCGGTCTGGCAGATTCACTACTCCATGGTTCTCTTCGCAGGTGCAAACGCGATTACCTTCCACATCATATCTTGGGAAGCTCAGTGCAGTTTCCAATCCAGTCTGCAAAAGCAAAACAAACAAAATATAACTTACTCATGCAGTACACAATATTCTTGAATTTTATTCTGACAAAAGACGATTCAACAGAGAAGCCAATGAAACCTGACCACAGTATGGGTGCCAATTCACTAATGATGGTATTTTTGTAGTGGAGGCTGGACCTTAAATTAAAAACAAAAGAAAAAACAAGCATCTGTGAAAAACAAGTTTTAGCATTTTATAGAAGGGAAAATTTGAGATTTTTGCGGCATCAAAATGCTGAGTGAAAGGATTCAACTCAAGGGCAAGGATACATTTTTTCCAATTAGTCACACTTCTTGATGAGAATCCTCTGTTTCCTTGGCTCATTGAATAATTGCCAAAAGCCAGTAGAAATAAGTAAGAGGGCTCAATAGACCATACAGTACACTGTCTGTTGAGAATTTGAAAATAGAACTTGAAAGCAACTCCACATTCAGGGAGGTTTTCAACTTTGAGTGGTGTTAGCTGGCAAAATCCAAGCATAGCACTGAACTGCCTGGCAGAGTCAGAATATTTTTTTGGGGACAGAGCAGCTCATAGTTCAGCCAAAGGTCACTGAAATGCTCCCAGGTTAAGAAGGCTTAAGCTGTCATGAAAAATCCTGGAGGAAAATTTCCTATTGTTTTGAGGAATCTCCAATAATGCTAATCCTATGCTAGGAATGTAGGAAAAACCACAACCCAGTGAGGGTTTTCTTCCAACATTTTCATGCAGAATTTTCTGCAGGATTTGAAAAAAATACCAACCGTTTTTCCTGTACTTAAGCCTTGGTACAAAAGTAGGATTTTTTAAAATTTCCAACGGTCATTGGCACAAAATTTTGCAAAAATATCCCAACTTTGCTGCATACACACAAGGTGTATACATTATTTCAAACTGTTCCTTCGAGTAATAAGGGAATATTTCAAACTTCAAAAAAGTGGCCCAAAAGGATTCTCCACCTATGAAGTGTACATGGCCCTTGGAAAAAAGCATCATTGCAGCCCTTGTTCACAATGGAGTTGTGCAGTGTTGAGAACTGAGAGCCAGAAATTATTATAAAAAATAAAATCCACCTGCATCCCAAGAACCACTGCTGGGCTCCAAGAGCCTTGCAGCAGTGGACTTGCCTCCCAAGAGCATTGAAAACTTGCACCACAATCCTCTACATAATCTTTGAATTTGCTGAAACTGGCCATCAGAAAACAGCAAATAATCCTAACCTTTGCCAAGCACAAGTTAACCCTTGGACAGCAGAGGGTTCTTTCTCAGTGCGCAGCAGAGTTGGGATTTTTCCAAGGGGTGGCGCATTTCAGTTTGACCCAAGGTTACTGAAATGCACCCAGGTTGAGGAGGACTAAGTTGGAGAAAATCCAGGAGGCAAATTTTCTTTTGTTTCCAAGATTTTCCCATGCAAATCCTATGCCAGGAATGCAGGAAAAAACACCACCCAGCCAGGGATTTTTTTTTCAATTTTCATGGAAAATTTTCTGCAGGATTAGAAAAAAATCTTGTGACTTTTTCCTGACTTAGCCCTTGGTAAAAAAAAAAAGTAGGCTTTTTTTANAAAATTAAATCAAAAGTTATTGGCAGTATATAAAGGGCAAATTTAATTGAAAAACATTTTTCAACCAACATTAATTCATGCCCTATAACAAAAAATTCTTTAACTAAAGCATGATCCATCAACTTTTGATTGACATGGACTTTGAGATATATAATTCATATGTACTTGAATAAACTTGAATGTTGAGAATGTGTATCTGAATGGAGTTTTAATGAGGAATTCCTCTTGAAAGGAAATCACAAATAATTTTTTATATTAATTTTCAAATAAAGTTGGAAAAACCAGCACAACTTATTTTCAATGCACCTCTGCAGAGGACACATTTGCTGATCTGTTCAGAAACAATTTTTGTTAAAGGCTGCTCTGAGTGAACTAGGAAAATATCCAAGATTAAAGAAAAAACCTTGGATTCTGTAAAAAAAAAATTTCAGAACCTGCAGATAGAAAAGTCTCCTCATTAAAAAGAATGTAGTGGTCCCATATGTAAATATGAGGTGGGAAGACAGCCCATTTCTGCTTCTTGAAAGAGCGGCTTATAAAAACATCAACCTTTTCAACTTCAAGATATTGAATTTCAGATGTTTCAATATTATTCATATTCAATAAGTTCCTAATTGCTATATTTTAACTTTTATTTACCCTGAGTGGAAGGGGTGACACATATTGAGTGCTTCTCCAGAATCTATTAGCAAGAAGGACAATTTTGATTGATGTACTTTAATTTAATTTTATTTTTCCACTGTCAAATTTCAAAGCAAATTGTCCCAATTTCAAAGTAAATTTTATCATCCCCAGCATTAAAGAAATATTTTTCATATAGTTCAAGTAAAGGGGAAAATATTGTGAGCATCCTAAAATTTACACATTTAAACCCAATAGACAAACAAACTGTTTTTAAAGCTTGTGGTCCAGTTTTAAATGCAGTGTTGCCAAAGTGTTGTATGGGAATATTCTTTGAAAAACTGTTGAAAAATTGAGCATACATGTAAGCAGCCTCAGGCGCCAGACCGTCTAAGTGATGAGGTACCAAGAGAAGCGTCCACGTTTGCGCTAATGGAAGGTGTAGTATAGAACCCTTCGAGTCACGTCAAAGGTTAGGTCAGACGTTTTCGTTTTGTTTGTTTTATAAACTTACTCATACAGTATGCAATATTCTTGGATTTTATTCTGACAAAAGACGATTCAACAGAGAAGCCAATGAAACCTGACCAAAGTTTGGTTGCCAATTTACTAATGGTCTTTGTAGTGGAGGTTGGACCTTGAATTAAAAACAAAAGAAAAAACAGGCATTTGGGAAAAATAAGTTTTAGCATTTTATAGAAGGGAAAATTTAAGATTTTTGTGGCATCAAAATGCTGAGTGAAAGGATTCAACTAAAGAACAAGGATACATTTTTTTCCAATTAGTCACACTTCTTGATGAGAATTATCTGTTTCCTTGGCTCATTGAATAATTGCCAAAAGCCTGCAGAAATAAGTTAGGTATTTGAAGGGTGAGGGCTCAATAGACTATACACTGTCTGTTTGGATATTGAACTTGAAAGCAATTCCACATTCAGGGAGGTTTTCAACTTTGCGTGGTGTTTGCTGGAAAAATCCAAGCCAGATCAAATCATAGAACTGAATTGCATGGAAGAGTCAGAATATTTTTTTGGGGACAGAGCAGTTCAGTTCAGCCAAAGGTCACTGAAATGCTCCCATCAAGAAGGCTTAGGCTGTCATGAAAATATCAAGGAGGAAAATTTCCTATTGCTTTAAGCTAATCATATGCTAAGAGCGCAGGAAAACCCACAACCCAGTTAGTGTTTTCTTGTAAAATTTTCATGCAGAATTTTCTGCAGGATTTGGAAAAAATACCAACCTTTTTTCCTCTACTTAAACCTTGGTACAAAAGTAGAGTTTTTAAAAATTTTCAACGGTCACTGGCACACAATTTTGCAAAAATATCCCAACTTTGCTGCATACACACAAGGTGTATACATTATTTCAAACTGTTCCTTCAAGTAATAAGGGAATATTTCAAACTTCAAAAAAGTGGCCCAAAAGGATTCTCCACCTATGAAGTGTACATGGCCCTTGAAAAAAGCATCATTGCAGCCCTTGTTCACAATGGAGTTGTGCACTGAGAGCCAGAAATTATTATAAAAAATAAAATCCACCTGCATCCCAAGAACCACTGCTGGGCTCCAAGAGCCTTGCAGCAATGGACTTGCCTCCCAAGAGCATTGAAAACTTGCACCACAATCCTCTACATAATCTTTGAATTTGCTGAAACTGGCCATCAGAAAACAGAAAATAATCCTAACCTTTGCCAAGCACAAGTTAACCCTTGGACAGCAGAGGGTTCTTTCTCAGTGCGCAGCAGAGTTGGGATTTTTCCACGGGGTGGCGCATTTCAGTTTGACCAAAGGTTACTGAAATGTGCCCAGGTTGAGGACCAAGTTATTGGGGAAAATCTGGGAGGCAAATTTTCTTTTGTTTCCAAGATTTTCCCATGCAAATCCTATGCCAGGAATGCAGGAAAAAACACCACCCAGCCAGGGATTTTTTTTTCAATTTTCATGGAAAATTTTCTGCAGGATTAGAAAAAAATCTTGGGACTTTTTCCTGACTTAGCCCTTGGTAAAAAAAAAAAGTAGGCTTTTTTTAAATCCCCGTGCCCAGTGGCAAAAAATTATGCAAAAATATCCCAACTTTGCCACACAAGGGTTGAACACAAGCCTTCTCAAGAAATCTATAAAAGCCTCAAAACTAGAAATCACTAGCTCATTTTCATTCTAGCTTCCCATTCCACAGCAGAACCCTCTCCATCTGTATACATGTGTGCATTATTTTTGTGTGAGTATATTTGCTTGAAGATGCTGAGTTGTATAGCCAACTTTTTTGGAGCTGCAGGCTCATTGCGGTATTTCATTAATTCATCAAACTTGTGTTGGGAACCAGTCCCATATACTTGACCTGACAGGCAGCACACTGCCAAAATGGAATTCAAGAAGGCAAACCTGTCTGGACAGCTGGTTGGCGCAGTTGCAGGGCCCCTCATGCGCATATCCGCAATGCTCCCGCTGCACAGTGGTAGGTGCGCACCGGCAGTCGGGCCCGATGCAGTCAGAGGGCCGCACTTCGTCCTGCAGGAGCGACATCTGGCACTGCTGCTGGTCTCCTCGATGCGCCGGGATGCGCACAGCCAGGGTCGTCCTCGGTGCTGGCGACGCGTCCCGACGCGACTCGTCTCGGTGCTGGTGATGATGAGCGCGCAGGGAGTTGAGGAGGCGGCCAGCAGCTGGCGCTGTCCGCAGGCCGTTCTGGCGAGGGGTCGCCTCTTTCACCACGCACTGGCCCAAGATGCCCTGTCCCCCGACCTGAAATCACGGGAATTGAACCGAACATGTCCCGAAATGTCACCATCATCATTCAACATCTTCAACAGGAAATGAAAGTGCAGATGAGAAATCATTGGAAACACTCATTTCCAAGGACTCATTGGGTGGAAAATAGCAACCCACATGGTCCACAGAAGTTTTCTGCTGGTCCATGCTGGGAAATTTTCTTGAGCAAAATACATGTATCAAAGGTAGCAATGAAGTCTGTTATCTTCATCTGGACTTTTGAAAAGACAATAAGGTAGTTTAAATTGTCTGATGAAAAATGAAAGTTGGCTTTTCCCCTGATGAAAATTCACATGGTGAAATAAATTAGAAATTTTTTTATTCTGAGAAATCTTTTGTCAAGCCCACCTTTCTAATTTTTTGAAGACACTCCACTATAGCTGCTTCATTATGGTTCTTGACTGAATTTTTGCAAAATGCAGAAAATGTTAAAACTTGCCCTAAAGTCATAAAAACAAAACTTTTGAGTCTGCAAACATTTCATGAAACTTTGCCCATGCGCAAAAACTTTTAGGGAAATTTTCCTGTCTGTGGGCCCAAAAAGGTTGAGTAACACTGGAGTACTGTATATATGTCCCTGATGTGCATCAAAATGTCACATTGCAGAAGTTATTTCTCAAAAAAGTACTTGCATGATGAAATTGTAAATGCTTATAGCAATTTTTTCAAGAACTGTGGAATTCTTTTCACATCATAAACTTCTGGATTTTTATTAATGAATACATTTCAGGGTATGCTTTACCTTTTCTCAAGGTAAAAGTCTTTGAATTTCACCAAATTAGGACTCTAAACATTTTTAGAAGTGCTGTACTGTACTTCATCAATGCACTGGTCAATTTTATGACGCATGATGTGTCTCAAATAAATGACCTATTTTTAAATTATAAAAGAGGAATAAGAAAACTTTTGAATGTCAAAAAACACCCAAGAATATAACTAATTCATTTAAGCAGGGGCTCCCATCTAAGCCATTTAGGCCTTAAATATCACGGGGAAGCAGGGAATATATGCTTTAAAATGTCAACACAGCTTCAGGCATTACCACAGATGATTCACATCACTGTCAAGAAACACAAGTGAAGCAATCAACATTTACAAACCTTGCTTACTCTTATATTGGGCCTGGCCTGCTTTGAATTCCCTTAAATTGTGTTGATTATACTGCAATATAGTACTTCTTTTAATGCACAACAATACTTTGAAAAATTAAGAATACTTGTTCAGACATCGTTTTCTTTGGGACTGGAGGAGACCAAAAGAAGTCTCAAATGAAGGTAGAGAAACTCAGAACGCCATGTTGCATATCTTTGGAGATATACTGTAAAAAAAAACGCTTAGCATTTATTATTCTTTGATACACATTTTATGCAAGACTGACATCATAATTCCAATGGAAATCAGAAAAACCTCGCTTTGGAGTATGCTGCAAACGTTTGTTCCAGCAAAGAAACAGTTGGGAAAACTAAAAAACATTGTTTCAATGGTGTGTGCGTGTAATGAAATTTCACTGTGCATTTAAGTACCACATGATTGCATGCAGATGCCTTGGCCATGTGTGCTTGACAGCAATACAGATTATTAAGCTTAGTCCATATGTATTGAAATAATGAATAAAAAACTTTTTTTCTAACAAACCCATGGACATTCTAGTGAAACTTTTGTCCTAGAACACCATAAGAATTTGAAATTGGAAGAATACTTGCAGTATAGGAATGAGAAGAGAGGAGTGTGAGAAGATCTATGCCTTATATTTTCATTGATAAAACCTAAATGGGCAAAATTTTAGACATGAGCACAATTGCCATCAGGACAGAAGTCCCTTCAATGTAAATGTCCTGAGAAGCACAGATACAGTACTTTCAAATTTAAAACTAACCCTGGCAGCATCAACTGAGAGTATTTCACAAGCTGCTTTGTCCTCAAAGCGCTCAATTTTCTCTCCCATGTTCATGTGGTCAGTGCATTTGGAGTCTGCAGTGCAACACATCTGAGTTGCTTGAGAGGGCATCCAGAACTCCTGAGTCCCCTGAAGGGAAACAGCTTGATATCCATCATGGTACTGATGTAGCATGTTGAGAAGCAGAAAGTTGACAGTTAGAGGAGAAAATAGTTATTAAATGAAAATTTCAATCATCAAAGAAAGCTGTAATAAACCTTTGGTCTGTACTCATCAGAGTCCTATAGAGAGTCCATCATCAGGATGGAACTAACAAGGAAAGAAAGGTGTATTTCCACGTACACTAACCTCCTGAGGTCGAATAAAAGGAGACTTTACACAAGATGGTATTACCCTTATACTTAATACATCACCTCCTCTGGACTGGGTCCAGAGGCAGAGCCTCACTGAACAATCTAAAACCATTACTGAAAAACCCATAGAAAACTCAACATGGACACTGGCTGCTTAGAAGTACAGTACCAACATTTGGACAAGCATTCAACTGGAAACTAATTATTTGGAATGTACATTCTGCATTTTATGGTTCTCTTGCTTTCAGCCAACAGAATCTAACCAAGCTCTATGGAATCATCCAGCAAAAGCCAAAGTGCCATCAAAAATCTAAGAATTTGGCTCAATCCAGACAAAGTTTTTTCCTTAAAAAAAACCCACTAGCAGCAGAATAAGCCTTTGCCATCTTCAACCCCAGATTTGAAAAAAGAAATTCAAAATCCATCTTGCTAACCTGCACATCCTGGAATACATTCCAGAACATTGGGAAAAAAAAAACTTTCCTAAATAAATGAGGGTATTGCAATGGTGCTTAGAAGTGGAAAATTTGACTCCTCCTTTGTCCTTAATTCATCCTGTGTTTCATACATACAGGTCTTGAAGGAATTACAGTATTTCCATGCATTTTCACATCAATATGAAGTAACAAGGATTTCCTTTCATTTTTAGTTGATCTAAATAATCACTGGCTTTGAGAAGTTGTACAGTTAATGTACAGGTGGACTCTCTCAACAACAATCTTTTCTATAACAATTTTCTCTGTGAAACACATTTGTTGTAGTCCTATATAGCCATATTCTCTCCTCAGGTTATTCAAGTACAATTAAATTCTCTCCATAAAGACCTATTTTTCTGGTCCCTTATTGAGATTTTTTGTAGAGAAAGAAAGTGTTACCTGCTGTACGTCATGATTTTTCAAGAGAAAAAGCTATGAAATTCTAATAAATATAAAAAGACAACAGTACATGGAAAATCATTTTGTGTATAATGATCGCACCAACATGTTGTGTATAACTGCTTTATCATGCATAGCAGTACAGTCCTGAGACTGAACATTTTTTAAAATAATTTACTTTGTGCTTATACAGGGGTACAGTATATACTATAACTAGACATACTATAACCAGACAAAAAGTAGTGTTATTGTGGGAAGTAGTAGGTCAGTCAGAAAATACAAGTGCTGGTAGAGCCAAGTTGCTCTTGGAACCCCTTGGTATGAAACACCATTATAATGCACTAGATTTCACTCATTTCAGTGAGGAGTCTGAGGGCATACCATATCCATGCAAGTGTATCAACAGGTTTTTTTTTTCATGAAAATTAGAAAAAAAAAGATAATGACCTATCACTCTGTGTGTGGTCAGTTTGCACTATCTAAAAGTTCATGTATCAGAGAAATACTGTATTAGCATAATATTTGAAGATTTAGGCAAATAAACATTGTTTCACCCGCTTTTCAATTTTTTACTCACTTTTAGATGCGGCTGCTGAAGTTAAAAAAAATTAAGAAAAACTCGAAGTACCCAAGTGAGGAAGTTTTGATTTTTTCTGTAATCACAAAACTGGTGTAGATTGGATACTCTGGGGTTGCAAGCGTGCACAGCTGTGCAGGATACAATTTTGGTACTTTTCCAGGATTACACTGTTTGTATTTCTCATACATCTACAGGGTTACTATGATGTATTGTACATGTAACATACTCCAAGCAACCAAAAGCTGGTGCGCATTCATTGAGCAGACATTTTGTGCCTGTGTACACCCAATTTTTGAAAACAAATTAAGGTGCATGTTGTACACTCATCATGGTGGCTTCTTCTTTACACCTTCTCATAAAAATTGAATGCTGATGAAGCTCTTGATTTTTTTCTCAACTAACAATGTCAAAGATTTCCCACAGCGCCTAGGAAAGTGCTTGAACAAATAAAGAATACTCGCAGCTTTTCATGATGAGACACGGACAAATTTTTTTTCCATCCAAAACGAGAGAGAGAAACGAGGAAATCTCAATCAAGTCTCAGAAAATTGATCCAATCGCAAGGACAAAAGAATTTCACGCAATTCGCACATCTCTGCTCAAAATGCAAGAATAGAAATAGCTCAGAACAAAAGACTCCATTCCCATCAGTAATCTCAAGAAAATAGAACCAAAT